CCTCATCTAGAGCATCTGTATTCTAGCAAAGACAAAATCTAGTGGACATTTCAAGTGTTGGGATCACTACTTAATATGAACATCTGATATCAAATAATGCTGACCTTTTGCCCTCTGCTGCTGGTTTTAGGATATACTTTTCGAAGTAAAGTCTGACTAAGCGCTCCCTCTCTACTAGAGTTGGCAGAGGGAATTCTACCGGTTCATGAACACGATCAACCACAGCAAAGTCAAGTACTTCAGGGGTGTTGGAAGCTAACACCATCATAAATCTGTAGATCCAAAATTTATATCAGTATATTCAGGTATAAAAGACAAATTCATGACATCAAATAGTTTAATAGGTAATTCCAAATAAAGAGCACATCAAGACAAAAAATTATTTCAACCAGTTTACCTAGAAAAGAATCACACAATGTATTTTATAAAAGAAGAAATAAGCTATAGTTAAGCAAAGAGAATCAAAATTAGCCCTATTCAAATTTTTGCTCCAACTTACTTATCAGTCTGAGTTCCCGTACGATATAAGAAAGCACTAATGGCCATCCTCAATTCTTCACTGATATTTTCATGACGTTTGCGCAGAAATCCTTCAGCTTCATCAATGAAAAGGATAAGACCCTTTCTTGATGTACCTGCCCAATCAAACACCTGAAATATGATCATTATATCTTGATCATCAAATAAAAATCTAAACCTTAAGCAAGAACTTCAATAATATAAGCGATTAGGGTGAAATTCTGGAAGCCTGAGTTCAGAAAATATATAACAGTATTGGTAAAAGAAAAGAAAAGAAAAAGAAAATACATAGGGCAAAAATTTTCAGGATCATTGATATCTATCCAACAATTTGGAATCATTCTCTAAGTGAAAATTATAATTCTAACATAAATCTATTGACCTAGAATTTCTAGTTGGACTAGCTGAAGTGGGTTAATATTTACATATGTAAGCCCCTAGTTTCTTTCACCCATGTTTCTTTGAAACCTATACAACAAAATGTCATGAACATACAAAAAAGACTGTTTACATGGTGTACCAATCTTTAAATTCCCTACAAAGCTACAAAATCTGACAACAGTTCATATATGAATTAAAACCAATTACTGTAACTGAAAGTGTGTTGCCTTTTCATGCTAGGTAACTCTCTCTCTTCAACTTTGTTCGTTATAAATCAAATTCTTTTTACCTTGTGAATGGCTCCAACAGATTCCCTGCCTAGAAGAGCGATGTCACCACCTGTCATAATAGCATAATCCATTCCAGAGTGCATTGCCAGTTTCTGGAAAAGATTCAGAATTAGCATTAAACTTTTGTTTATAGACTTAAAAGACTTTTAACAATACAAAACATCATTATTGTATATGTGGAATACTACTAATGAATCTTATAAATTGTTAATAATAACAATTAAATGATTTTTAAGTAATTCAGTTGCCATATCAATTATGGAACTAATAAAAGGGATGCTAAGTGCAAACAAATATAATTATACCTTGGCAAAGAGGGTTTTACCAGTTCCAGGAGGTCCATGAAGAAGAATGTTGCGATACATGCCTTTGTTGAACTTGGTGTTCTTTGTTGCAATGGCAATGTCTCTGTAAATGTTAATAAATGACAAGATGTATTACCTCATGCATATGAAAGGAAATTTTCCTTTTTGTATGTATGAATCTTTTAAAAGTCTGACTGCTGCTGCTCTTTTAAAATATATACAGTTTCATCACTTGATTTTATCTTTTGCAATGTAATATCAAAATTTGAAGTTTAAAATTAATTCTTCTTCCTTTGTTACATGTTTCATTTAGATCTTTGGCTGGATTTCCCATTTCCCCACAAAACCTGCCTCCTCTTCAAAAAGAATAATTAATTTTTTTTCAATCATTACTTCGTAACACATAAATCACTGCTACTTCTACTTCCTTACCGGACTCTTTCTTCTAGACTAGGGTTGAGAACAACTCCTTCTAAGACATCTTCAGGTCTCTTCTGAATCTTCTTTACAGTCTGCACTGGATGTCGCACAACATCAAAAGCACTGATCCTTGAGGTCTCACGCACTAATGATGGTTTTGCTGTTTGAAAAAAAAGGATGGTAAGTACCCTCTCTTTACAAATTCACTACAAATGTTGATTAATCCTGTCAAAAAAAGGATATTTGAATCTTACACAAATTTTCATATATCTATTCATTTTTTTTCTTAATTTATGAATTTCAAGAAGATTTCAAAATCCAAAGCATTTTTCCATCCTTACCTAGTCTTGCCTCCATAAACCTAAACATAATGCCCAGGGATCCTTTGGCACCATAATATCCAGCAGTAAGAGCCACAAGGCCTGCCACGGCAGCTTGAATCTTAGCTGGTTCACTTAAAAATGCATCTATGCCAGTTCCAATAGCTGCCCCTGCTGTTCTGTAAAAAATTATAATGATTAGTATTTTGCAATGGATGTAATACATCTACTAGCCTGAGTATTTCTTTTTCATGAGAAAAAAAAGTCTTCATAACATTTCCTGCTTAACCTACATGCTTTATCACAAATTCCTTTAAAACCAAATATTTATATCTTGTAGTATTGCAGAGAACTGGGCTTCCAATTCCAAAACACATACTTTATAGAAGACAGTATTGTTTCACGTTTCTCAATCATTGACTTTAGGGTTGTCTCCCTATCTTCAGCAGCACGGACCCTGATCTGTTCCAGGGTTAAATCCTGATTTTCTCGATCCACCTTGGCTTTGCTTGTCATTTCTGCTTCTATTCTTTTTAAATCATATTTGTGCCTCTGCTCGAGTTCATGCTCAATAGTAGCTGTAAAAGAAAAATGCTAGTAATAAATGTATATAAAATATGATTTTTATAATTATGTTACAGAAATTCAAAGTCATGTATTCATTACCCAATTTTGGAACACACTTAAGAGAAACAACTCACTAAAACATGAAACATATCAGAATCATCATTTCTAACCATCTCTTCAACTTCAAGGAAAAGAAAACAGTGTAATAATACCTTTCCTCATAGCCTCTTGCTTTGCAACCGACTCTTCTTGCCTCCTCAGGTTATCTTCATTCATTCTTTGCTGCTGAGCCAGCTGGTCTTCATACCTAAAAGTGACTAAAGTTCATCACATTCATTACCTAAAAGTTTTTCTCTTCTACCAATCAAGTACTTTGGTGTATTCATCCTTTCATACAAATATCAAGACTAATTAATGAATAAATAAAACAAAATATGTAAATCAGTACTTTGTGACATTCTTGTAGATATTCCTCTTCAAAAATAAATTTCTACACAAGTAACACACTCCTTAACCCCTATGATCCAGATGATGTGACCATCATGTCATGAAAAAATTTTGCTTGAGGAGCAGGTGACATGAACACACCATAATGGGAAAATTTGGTTGAGGGCTTGGGTGACGGGAACTTACCATTTTAAGAATTTTGTCTGAAGCCCGGGGTGGCAGGAATGCCTCGCCATGAGTTCACAAAACTCTTGGTGGGTGATTAGACTAAATGGGCATTTAGGAAGGGGCTTTTCCATCATTTCCATTGATAAACAAGTGTGGAATGTACAAACTAAGCCATGACTAGAAGAGCTCTCGCTCCAGGGTGGACAATATTTCCATGCTCAGAATCCTATACCTGACCATCATGACTAATTGTATTATAAAAAACTCAATGTTAAAAAAAAGACAAATTACAAAATGTTACCAACTATTTCTCTGAGTTATTGACTACCTAGAGATATGAAATGGAGTCTGTGCAAGAAATACAGTCTATTACCATCTGGACAAAGCATATGAGATAGATACTGGAAATGACAAAAAACTAAAAACATTTATGCAGAAAAATAGAAAATAACCCTGGGAAGGCATGGATGTTCACGTGCGCCTGACCTACATACCACATACACATACGAGTGACCACTTTAAGTAAGCTGAAGCACGTAATTTGAGCCACATGTGCAGTGAAGCATTCGGATCCAAGGGATTAATATATGTTTTCTTTTCCACAAAAAAAGTGTACTATAAATGATAATGACTTCATATAATACATATTTCTTAAATATACTGTTTACAAATTATATTCATTGGCGATACATTGACACTCCAAACATAACTTTTTCAATAAGCATTAGCCGTATTTTGTGCAAATTCTTGATACCATCCTAATTATCATATATTCTTAGAACTAATGAACAGTTTAAATCAATGGATGATAACTGGATAAAAGTTATTCCCTCTTTGGTATAACACTAACCTTTTTCTAGCCAGCTGATCTTGATATTGTGACTTTTGCTGGTCAAGTTTTGACTGCTCTTGCAATGTCTTCCTTCGTTCCTCCTGTTCTATGCGTTTCCCTTCTGCTTTTGCTGCCTCTATTTGCACCTAAGAAAATATATGTATTGTTAAAAATTATATATAATTGATTCTGTGTCAAAATATTTCAAACATTTATCTATTCTTTTTCTTAATTCAAAACACAAGAGATATGTAAATCCAAAACAGTCACAAAAGACAAGACAGACATGTGTGCAAATTTCTGTATATAATTCTGAAACCCCTACTCCAAATTAGAATTCTAAATTAATTCTTTAATCTACAAACCTCCATTTCCTTAGCTTTTGTCATTATTTCCTTCTGCTTTGTTTCTTCCTGCATCAATGACAGACTGAGGGCTTCCTTTGCAAATGCTGAAATTTTCAAGAAACATATTAGTCATATCTTAATAATGAGAAACTTCAATTAGTCATTTCTTAATAATTACTAACTTCATAAAAATTTAGTTCACATTGCTTAACTTCTATTTTTCATCTTTTTGCCAGATATCATAACTATCATGACTAACAATCTTTTCTAGTACTGGAAGTTATTTGACCAGTGTAAACAATTTTCCCATAAGAATACATACCAGACTTCTCTAAATCTTTGGCAGCTTTAGCAGCTCGTTCCAGAGCAGCCGAGTCAAAGCGGTATGCTTCCATGCTGGAGTTGCCCTTCCCACGGTCATTTGGTCCGTCTGGCCCTCCATCACCACCTGAAGCTCCAGGTGGTGGCACAAACTGAGAAAAGTCCTGAGGGCGCTGGTTCATACCAAAAAGCCAAGACATGGTGTACCTGCAAGTCAAAATTAATAAATTTAAGTAACAGGGATAATCCATGCTCTCTATAGTCACTTAAAAAAAAATTGAGATTATTGTCTTCCTTGTACATTCCTGTCTGTTAATAAATTCACTGATCAATTAGAGATTATGAATCATTAGAAAATAAATAGAAAACTTGCTTTCTTAGGACTAATTGGTCTTCACTATATTCCGATTATGGTAATCTATTTCAAATCTTGTATGGAACATACCATGAACACAAAACTAATATGATATCAAAGCAAATTATCTTATTTAAAAAATACATCCAGTAATGATGTCTATAAATATGCTTTTAATAAAAGATGTTGAGTGCTTCCACTAATCTTTCAAAAACAGTCAAGCATTTAAAAAAATTAATAACCATAGCATTTACACAAATTTTCTAATCAATCAACTTTAAGATGGCAACCTACAGATTTCTTTTTTAACTTTAACGATGCAAATATTGTATTTACTGTTTGCCTAAAAATACTGGTGATTTTTCAATTTCACAAAGCCATCCAACCTAAGAACTATCATTCCTTATTTTAGCTAATGTTACCAAGAGCGATACACACAGATAGAGGGAAATGAATACCAGAAAAGGTGGGCTTGCCCCCCTTGTCTAAGGAATAAATAAGATGGTAGGAAAGATTAGATTTGGGTTTTTCCGTTTGCAAGAACCCTGGTTTTGGGACAGTTTCTGGAGGGTGCTTCACTTTTGGTACCAAATAATCTTGTTTTAATTATTTACAGAGTAATACATGTGAATATCTTAGTTTTCCATTGCAAAAGACATGTGTGAAAGTACTGGTAACTGTTTCTGAAGTAATTGCATCCCACAGAGACTATGTCCCTATTACTCAAGCCACTCATTGTTGTATTAACCAGATACCTTCTTGACCCAGAGGCTTCGCCCTGTGACCCCCACCTTATCTCTGTATTTCCATATTATGAGCTCTGCCTCAAGACCCCTACCAAGTCCACATAACGTAATCTTTGCATGGCACTTGTTGCAGCCTATTTTCTACATGTCTGATGTTATTCTTTGCCTGCACTGATATTTACAGTATCAGTGCATAGTTCTTTCTTACTTTATGGTGGTGTCATTTGATTTTCCAGTATATGTATACCAATATTAGGTAATTTTTCTATATATTTGGAAAGGAAGGGAGTAAGAGGAATCCATTGACACCAAACCCATCTTAATCCATTTCGAGTCACTATTCAGTAAAATTACCCAAAATATTACAAGTTGTGAGACTCATATCAACTTGCACAGGAATTATCATAGATGGAAAGTCTCATTTCTGTCACTCTATCCATTTCTGGCAAAGTTTACTTTATCCATATGGCTGTGTGAAACTGATAAATAATGTATTTCATACAAATAACAAGAAACTGTAACTCATTCGTGGAAGTTATCTAATTTTATCTCAAAATGCTAAGCTAGAAGTTACATCACCCAAAGCTAATTCATTATTTGTCATATATTACAAACACATTGCTCTTCTCTAACTCACAGTTCTTTATTTTCTACGAGGTACAATTATTTCTGTCGCCTACAACCTCAAACAGTGAGTTGCATAAACACTATTTTCGACACAAACAAAACTTGGTCAACTTCGGTTTAAATTGACGAGTGTCTGGAGTCACGTAACATCTGTCTCTAAGTAATCACAACTATATTTCCTTATAAACTAAAAAGACAAAAACACCTAGTCATCTTTGACAAAACACAAAGACTCACGGAATGTGTTTTATGTGTTCTGTAATAACTAATCTATGGTGTGGAGCTGACTACTTCTTCCTAGCAGACGCTTTTCAGCACGTGTGGGCGATGACGTCACAACAGACTAACGTTATCCGCACATTTCGCCGGTAAGAATTTTATGGAGAATTATGATTTATTTCTCTAAACTTTTTGGTCTATTAGGAACATGTATGTGTTGTTGCTTCTTTTTCTCTCATCGTGTTTTAGAAGTTGATGTTATGGAATCATTTTGTTTTTTATGGTTACGAAACTATTTTAAAGCTGAGTTGATGAATGAAACATTTAGTTGCGTCAGATATTTCAGTTCAATGCTGATGTGACTCTAAATTTTCTGTCAAAATAAATAAGACTATATGAGTTGAATGTAAAATCCTTCTCATTCGACATTTTTAGCATGTACGAGCGAGGGTAAAATCGTGAAGCACACCCTTTTTCAACATTTCTATGGCAATTCTTATTCTTGACAAAATATAACCGATAATATTCGTGGGTAATTTTAGAGATATGCCAAGGTCAATAGTTAATGTGAATTAATCCGAAATCCAACAACTGGTTCTAAACATTCAAGGTCACCACTGCTTGCTGGATAGCTGTATTATGCTCAGCTGTTGTCAGTTACTCCCCAACGCCAGAGGCGGCAAGTAACACATAAGTTGTTTGCTCAGTTGAAAAATGTCTTCCTTCCCCGTTGCACACAAACCCCTTCATACGCCGCCACTGCAGGAGGTAGCAGAGGTGTTGCAGACCGCACTAAAGGCCAAATTCGCCAATGCCGAGGTTACGGTCGTTGATTGTCCGGATTTGACTAAACCTCCCTATGGATTAGAGGCAGCAGGATTGTGTGGATCGCCTCGGTTGGCTGACGTGGGGGGCGTGCCATACCTCATGCCCATGGTGCAGAAAGACAAACTGTACGATGTAAAGGACCTGGCAGTTGCAGTTGGGCTTCCGTCTGCCTTTGTGGTCGGCGCAGGGGCAGGACCTCATCCGTACGTGGGTGTCAACAGTGAAATGATGGCTAATATCAAGACTGGGGACAGTACCACGAATGGTTCCCGAGTGGCAAAAATAAATGCTGCAGGCAGTTATGAGCTTCAGAAGCTTCCTCAAAGCGAGACAAGATGCGCTTTGATGCTGAATATGTTCGCTAGCGAGGGACGGCCTGGCAAGGTGCTGCGTGTCTCGGCCAAAAAGCGGACGGGTGACACCAACCTGGTGACCTGCATGAGGGAGGCACTCAAGGCACACTATGGAGAGAAGCCGGTGGGTCTGGGAGGAACTTTCCGTCTCGTGGAAGGCAAGGCGAAGTGCCACGTGATGCCCGAGTTCTCATCAGTGCCTCTGACCTGCGACGCCGAGGTCAACGAGTGGCTGCGGTTCTTTGACATGCCGGCGCCAATGGTGTTCCTCTCAACGCTCATCTCCAGCGACCCCGACCTCGACCTACGCGTGGAACACTCTCATGGGTACGGGAGTGACTGCGGTGGACACACCATGACAGACTCCAGAAACTGTAGAGTATGAGGGTTACTATAACATTGCAGAGTTTATTTATCGAATTGACAGACCCAAGGAAACCCATTCTGTCGGTAGGAATTAGGCTGTTACAAGGCCATTCACTTGAAAGAAGTTGAAAATTATGAATAAGTATTGCATAACCTCATCTACATTATCTGTATCACCTAATTTGTTACTTGCAATATTCACTGTGTGATGGTAAGTGTAATGATCCGCTGATATATAAAATGTAATACTTGAAATTTGGAAATAAAATGTAAACAACCATCGTGTTCTTATACCATTTAGTTGTTGGGGTAGCTAGCAACAATTTTAAGTGTATATGAAATTTAAATGTTCTTTTAGTTTTCATGTACGTTCCTAGTACACATTTTGACCAAATTTTGAATTTCTTATAGTTTACTCGGTCGCCCTGCTTAATACCTTGGTCTCATAATGAAAAAAAAAATCTAAAGATCTGCATATCTATAGGTCATCCTAAATAACGCGTATGTGATAAATTAATTCCAAGTACAAGGTGAACACAAACCCTTGTACTTTCAGAATACACTGTCTAATATCTAGCAAATTAATATTATGCGCATAAAAAATAATACGCATCCATCTGCGCCACGAATTAAGACAGAAAGGACAGAAGGCAATACGTGACTGTAAAGTCAGTTTATTTGCCAGCCGGAATTCAGGAACACCAACTGCATTTCGGGAGCAGAAATGGGAGGCGCAGCAACAAGCCCTTGGGCAATAGGAGATCAATATTGATGAGTTACCTGTGGCCAACCTGAGAAATTCACTTCCCTGCAGCCATTATCTACATGGTTGCTTTCAGAAGAAACATTCCCTGTTGAATGGTCATGTTTGATTGATTATTAAATACATATGTGTGTGTGTGTCTGTATTTACATGTGTGTGTTTAAGTATGATCCAGAGATCAAGCATCAGTCTGCAAATTTGGAGTTTGATCTGAGAATGTTCTGGTGACGACTGATATGTATATCTATGATTATGCAAATGAACTTAAATGTCAAGGTCTATACAAGTACTTCTATACACCTTGATAGATTTGTGCCTGAGTCTAAAGACATACCAACATTCGTTTGTACATAAAAGCTGCTGTTAAGCAAGCGTTTTTTCGACAACAGTAGTTGGCAGTAATGTCCACTTTTCCCACTTTCCCCAATCTCTGATTTGGCATGATCGTTAACTTTATTGAATGGTGGGTGAAACAGCATGGATTGTTTGGAATTGGGTTATGGCAAGATATCATAAGAGTCTATTCAGAAATGCTTACTCGAATGGTCATCCCGTTTAAACTATTTGTATTTAATTGAAACGATTTTTGCATAAATATTATACACCTTTAGATTTTCAATTGTTAATTTTTTTTTTAACTCGTGGTGTCGTCGGCCACTGAATGGTCTGGTCATTTCAGTGATTCGATGGGTGTTGTAAAAAGAAAGTACAGTACGTAGAAATCTGTTAACGGAGGTCCAGTATTGTAATGCTGGAACTAGAACTTTCAAGAAATCATACACATGTTATAATTCACGCTGTCAGTGGCCTTGGGAGATCTGGGCTT